AAACTTGATCTGTGTTATGTGGTAATAAGCATTGTGTATAAGTTTCATAACATTTGGTTGAGGCAAACTCAAGTTGGAGAACGGAAACCAATTTTGGGATGTACAGACGGACGTATGTACGTACGTCCGTACGTACGTACAGACGGACAGGGGTAAAACTTAATGCCCCACCGCTACGGCGGGGGCATAAAAATGTAAAATCATTTGGGGCAATTAATAGATAACTTACAGCAACAAACTGTTTCCATGGTAATTTCTCATAACACTGATTAGGTTTTCTAAAGATATCTTGTAAGGACCAAAATCTTCTGTATAGGTTGTAATCTACTGGTGAACATCTGTAATTCCAAAACAAGAATATCAAATATTGTGGATTTTCTTATACTATAAGCAGATGGAGCTTATCAGATTCTTTTATATTATTATGAAACATAATGAGACTCCATAGCTGATATCTTAAACTTTTCTGGTATGTACTTTTCAGGGGTCAAAATAAAAGATTAATAAACACTGGTCAGATGGGCAAACCTTTCCTTAAGTTCAATCAATTCAGAAGTTAACAAATATCTGATCTGCCACAAAGCTATCAACTAATAAATTTGACTATCTCACAGATAGACTATCTGGCTTGACAGAAGGCATTTTATCTAGCTGGACAGAAGACATTATATCAAACTGCACTTTTTATCATACACATGATTAACGGAGTGACATTTCTTCAGGTGATCAGAACTTACTTATTTCTCTAGTAAACAAAATATTTCCATTAACTTGAATGTGCAGACCATAGCTGACAACCCTCTATCAATAAGAACTATCTCTTCCAACAACTGTCAAAAATCATTGGAACAAAAGAAAACCATTTGCTACTATGACATCAATAAATGATTGATGAAATAAACTCCAGTATTTAAAACCGTTTACAGGAACATAGCTATAGGAGATTGCATGTGATCACATGATGAAAGGACATGAAACATGATGAAAAAAGTGTGATTAAACAGTTTTACCACAAAAAGCATGAGTTGGCAACTATGGGAAAAATTTAGTAACAGTAAAAAATCATAATATTTATAAACTTTTAAACTTTTTGTCAAAGTCTCAGATTTATTCAAATATTCAGACCAAAAATTAAATATTTTCTGAATCAAATGAACTGCTATACTTAAATGATTGATGTTAACTTACCCATCATCCATCTCTCCATCCTCAACCTCCATTTTATCTTCACCATTTTCCTACATTGAAAGTTAAGTTATTATCAGTATATCTTTTAAGCTCTACTCAAGTGATGTAGTAAATAAGATAAACAAAACAAAAGTGAAAAGGATGGAGGTTTAGAGAATTTCTTTAGTCCTGAAGGTCTCATTATACCTATTTGATTTTAGAAGGAACCTTTATGTATGTTCCATAAAAATTGCCTTGGTCCATGAGACAACTATCCATCAAAAACCAAAGGACAAGAAGATACAACAGAGCCCATATAAGTCATATAAGACATTATTGTTAACCATGTGAATAAAAAGTCATTTTAATTATGTAACTAGAGGCCCCAAGGAACCTAGATCACTACCCTTGTAAAACAACTCTTTATAGCAGAAGAGTATAAACTTCTAATTAAACAATAGGTAATGTGAGTGTGGTGAAATTCCAATGACATTTTTTTCAAATTGCAAAAGTAAAATACTTCTTAATAGAAAAAAATAGAACCTTCAAAGGGATATATTTGTCAAGTTTAGTTTTAATTGGTTGACAAGTATTTCCGAAGAAGACATTTAATACTTGTTCTAATCTGACCCTCTATGGCCCCTTTAAGCAACATTTGACTATTCATTAGGATCAAAATAACAACACAAGTGATTTCAACGACATCATTATAATTTAGAAGAAAAGTCATTTGGTTTAAAAGTAAATTCAGTATTAGAATTCTGATGAAATATTTTGAAAAAGAATGGAGAATGTGTCCATGGGACACAGATGATGCTCCCACTTGCATATAACGTTCATAACATTTGGTTGAGGCAAATTAAAAATAGAGAACGGAAACCAATTTTGGGATGTACGGACAGACAGACAGACGTATGGATGGACAAGGGTAAAACTCTGCTACAGTGGGGGCATAAAAATCAATAGAAGAACATTTTCTGTGAATAAAGAAGTATACGTAGTTATGTATCTTAGTATAGATTTTTTACCTTTTTTAATTTTCCACCATCATTTGCCATGAATGTTGTCACATTTTCTAAGTTGAAATTACTCATCAAATTTAAAGCTGAAAATAAATTATAAATTATCAAAAAACTCATAAGTTCAGAAAAAAATTAGGAATTAGTTAAATTTTCATTACAAGCCTGTTTTTTTTTTAACATTAATAGTTAATATATTCTGCCTGATGGCTACCGTTTTGAATTAAAGAAAAATGAAATATTTCCTTTGAAAAATAAAAACCATTTGGTATATATTGTGCCTGCACCCTATAGACAAGTGTATTTTTCTCTTCAATTCATTTCGATTCTTTATTAACCAAAGGGATTTCTATAAAATTTATGAAGGTTTTAAAGGCCTAGGGAAGAACTGTTAGTTCAATTTCGCTGGGGAAGTTATTAAAGCATTACTTTCTACTTTCTCAAAGCTTAAACAAATCAAATATTGTTTTTGTGTAAGCAAAGTTAAGTCACATATTTTCTTTGAAACGCTAACCTTATTATAACTCACCAGACTTTTCTGACAATGGGAATAATCTAGACAAGAACAGTTGTATTCTACCACAAAAAACAGTATTCTGTGACTTGGATAATCTTCTTAATATATCTGTAACAAATGTATAACACTATTCAAATCTATCAGAAAAGTAACTCCGTTAATTGCCTCAAACAAAACACAAGTTATTTTTGCAATATAAAAAGAATTAATACCAATAATTATTAGATTTAGAGACACTAAAACTATTAAATGACAAAATGTTATATGATGTTATCTTTGTTTCTTATGACATGGCCTTCCTCATATTGTATTTAAAATCACAATTTTGCTAATGTTAGTACAAATTGTAGAATCTGGAGTTGATATTTGACTTTTTCAACCAACCTACAGAAGAAATAAAGATAAAACTACAAACAGCAAGTTCTAAACAACGACCCAATTACATCTACTTAAGCGAAAATTGCAACAAGAAAAATTCACAAGTAATAAAGTAACCCATTACTTGAATCATAATGTTAATTGAAGTAGTTTTTCAAATTTTGCATGCATTTTTAATTATTTTTTTCCCAACCAGTCCCCCTTCCCCAATACGAATTTCTTTCGTAATTCCTATCATGTCAATCATGTGTTATCCAATGTCAAATTGATTATACATACCATTGCACATTCTGAGAAGGTAGTTTTTACCAGTATCATAAAACAATTTCTGTAAGATAAAATATAAACAGTATAATGATGAGCAACCAACTAAACAGCACTTGTTATGGGGCACCTGCTTCTATTAAGAGATCATACTATACCAGTGAATTTTTCATTGAAAGCAATTTTTAAGGATAACAGGCATTATAAGGTGTTCATATTTCAATAGATATTTGTTTATTTTGAAGTGCTATCTGATTGATATAAATAAAAGGAGACGTGGAGTATATGTCACTGAGCCACCAACCTAACAATAAATAAAATTAGAAAAGACATTAAGAGGTCAACATACTGTCATGATTAACTCATATCTTTTTTCCCCCATTCGTTCAGAAATTCATTTGGGATATTGCTATCTTTTAGCAAATGTATAAACTTCGTACAGATTTATTAGGACATGAGACCAATTGAGTTATGACAAAATGATTTCATTTCAAATACAAAATAACAGATCACTTATAGAAATCAACCAGTTGATAACAACTTTAATATTAATTCTTTTATATTTTCATAACATTTTATGCAGTTGTATTGAACATTATACCTTTTTCGATTCAATTCAATTCAAAGTTTCATTTAAAGAAGATATTCAGTAACCTACATAAATACATAAAAAGTTTTATTTAAAGAAGATATTCAGTAACCTACATAAATACATAAAAAGTTTTATTTAGAGAAGGTATTCAGTAACCTACATAAATACAAGCTCTAGTGAGCTTTTCAAATTGACTGACTTTTGACTTTTAGACTAATGTATGCCATGTACGTGTTTGGATTTTTTTTTCAACAAAATTTATGCTTTCAGGGCCTAGGGGGATTAGTTGTAGAACTTACAGATTTCCAAACACTTAGTTTTTGTTCTACTAAGTTAAACACCTCTTGACACTGATCTATGGTTATAACATCAAATATGTCTGATAGAATTACTAAAGGTGTGTTGTGTGAACAGGCATCTGAAATAAATATCAAATATATTAGCAACTTCTTTCAAGTTTCAATATAAAAATAAGATGTTGTATAATTGCCTCTCCACCAGAGACCAAATGACTTAGAAGTAAGCAACTATAGGTCACCATACAGCCTTCATCAATGAGCAACCATACCTCATTCAAGCATATTTGGTCATAACTGGGTTTTTTTTTTATTGGTTTTTTTAAACTGTCCCATTATCGTACATTTCATGCAAAGTTTACTGTAACTTGAAAATAGACTAAACAAGTGAATCTGTGAGCTACTGTTCACTAATGATACCCCGCCCGCTAAAAGTATAAGGTAAACAGGAAGTTGTTGAGTGATGAGTCTGAAAACACATCACACAGTATAGCTGACTCATATTAACCATGAAACCAAATTTCAGACATCCTTGCAATGTAGTTCCTGAGAAAGATGCGATGAAAAATATTCATGGGACGGATGGACAGACAGAGGTAAAACAGTATACCCCCTTTTTAAAGTGGGGGTATAACTAACTGAATGTAACTAAAAGAGTTCTTACATAATAATAATAAAATACTTGTATAAACTGAAACTGCATATCTGATACATCTATTGTGTGTTTTAAGCTATGATCTTTCTTCTTTCATTTTTTAACCTACCTTGTTTAGCCAGATCTATGGAATGTTCTGTACCTACCTTGTTTAGCCAGATCTTTGGAATGTTCTGTACCTACCTTGTTTAGCCAGATCTATAGACTGTTCTATACCTACCGGGTACCTTGTTTAGCCAGATCTATGGAATGTTCTGTACCTACCTTGTTTAGCCAGATCTATGGAATGTTGTGTCCCTACCTTGTTTAGCCAGATCTATGGAATGTTCTATACCTACCTTGTTTAGCCAGATCTATGGAATGTTCTATACCTACCTTGTTTAGCCAGATCTATGGAATGTTCTGTACCTACCTTGTTTAGCCAAATCTATGGAATGTTCTGTACCTACCTTGTTTAGCCAGATCTATGGAATGTTCTATACCTACCTTGTTTAGCCAGATCTATGGAATGTTCTATACCTACCTTGTTTAGCCAAATCTATGGAATGTTCTATACCTACCTTGTTTAGCCAGATCTATGGAATGTTGTGTCCCTACCTTGTTTAGCCAGATCTATGGAATGTTCTATACCTACCTTGTTTAGCCAGATCTATGGAATGTTCTATACCTACCTTGTTTAGCCAGATCTATGGAATGTTCCAAGATGATTTTGTAAATATCACATCCTGAATCTGACATCTGTAAGTATAAATGTAATGTATTAATTTAGTTGTTTTAAACATTGGTTACAATTATGGTAATCAAATTTGAATTTTATTTGTTTAGGAAGTCTAAATTTATTTCCCTACCCCTGCCAATATTAGAGCTTATCAGCTAAATTTTATAATCCTTAACGGAACAAGCATTCTGAGAGTATTCCATGGCAATACATAGTCCCCTACCGGTTAAGAATTCATTGTACTGGAACAAAATGCTAACTTGATCTATAACTTGTCATGATGTAAACTATATAATAAATATCAAGTCAATATCTTCAAGCATGACGAAAAAAAGTGTGGAAAACTGATTATTTGAGTGAATTTTCTAAGTCCAAGGACCATAACTCTGCACAAAATCATTAGACCGGAACAAAATTCGAAATTGATCTGTAACTTGTCATGATAAAACTATATACCAATTATTAAATCAATATCTTCATTCATGACAAAAAAAAGAGCGGAAAACTGATTATTTGAGTGAATTTTCTAAGTCCACGGACCATAACTCTGCACAACATCATCAGACCGGAACAAAATACAAACTTGATCTGTTACTTGTCATGATAAAACTATATACCAATTATTAAAACAATATCTTCAAGCGTGACAAAAAAAAGTGCGGAAAACTGATTATTTGAGTGAATTTTCTAAGTCCAAGGACCATAACTCTGCACAAATCATCAAACCGGAACAAAATTTGAACTTGATCTGTTACTTGTTATGATATCTCTATATACCAAATTACAAATCAATATCTTCAAGCATGAAGAAAAAAGTGTGGAAAACTGATTTGCCAGACTGACGGACAGACAGACAGACAGACAGACAGAGTGCAAACCTAAAGTCCCCTTCGACTTCGTCGGTAGGGGACTAAAAAATGAAAGTATCAGCCTAAAAGCTATCAATCAGATCAAAAGGCCTGATTTGTGACTCCTTCTAATAGCACAATTATGAGTACACACAGACACTCTTTGTCTCAAACCATAAAAGTTATTCTCTTATGCGTTTAGTGTTCTTCCCAGTATTTCCAAGGGATTTAAAACAGCACTGTTTCTCTTAAATTATAGCATCACATTTATAATACATTCTATTGTCAAATTTATATATATAGCACCAAGGGCTAAGAGAGAACACTGATTTACAGCAATTTAAACCACTACTTTAATCTATGAATAAGTCTATCGTCTAATTTTGTTTACAATGAACTTACCACTAAATCTCTGACAATATCTCGTAAAGCTTGGTCCATAGCTGATTTCTTTTCTGATTCACTGAAAATAAACAGTAAAACATTTTTTGAACATGTACTATAATTAATGTCTGAATTTATTTTTGCCTTCATTTCCAACTTACTGAATAATCCTACTTTGCCTTTGACAGCATTGGTTAATCATAATCTGATACTAAATCTTTTACTATTATATGTGTATCGTATTTAACAAGGTGTAAAATTACTTGATATTGAGGTAATGTAAATTCAGAAATTATTGCGAGGTTTTTATTATTGCGAAAAATGCGACAGAGTTGTAAACGCAATAATTTAAACTCGCATTTTGAAATATTTTATTTGAACTAAACAGGATTTTTCTCAAAATCGTAAAAATTAAAATCGCATATTAGTCTAAAATGACAAAATCGCAATAATAAATGCACGCAATAATTTCTCAATTTACAGTATGTTAATGTTTTGCCAATAAAGATGAATAAAAGGAGTTTTGGGGTTTATATCAATGACTAATACAACTTTAATAAAATGCTTCGCTGGGGTGCAGCTTGTTACGACCGCAGAGGTCGAACCCTGAACAGTTGGGGCAAGTATGGACACAACATTCAAGCTTGATACAGCTCTGAATTTGGATTGTTATTAAATATTTGACACAGCATAGGTTTCTGACACAGAAAGAATGTGGTCTAAGAACTTGAATTTTTTTAATTTACCTATTATGGTCCAATGTCCAAAATCAAAATACATGGTTAGATTCAGCATATCAAAGAACCCCATATATTCATTTTTTGTTAAAATCAAACAAAGTTTAATTTTGGACCCCAACTTGGACAAACTTGAAAACTGGGCCCATAATCAAAAATCTAAACATATGTTTAGATTCAGCATATCAAAGAACCCCAAGAATTCAATTTTTGCTAAAATCAAACTAAGTTTAATTTTGGACCCTTTGGACCTTAATGTAGACCAATTTAAAAAAGGGACTTAAAATTAAAAATCTAAATACACGGTTAGATTTGGAATTTCAAAGAACCCCAATAATTCAATTTTTGATGAAATCAAACAAAGTTTAATTTTGGACCCTTTTGACCTCAATATGAACCAATTTGATAGCGGGGCCCACAAATAAAAAATCTAAATTCATGGTTAGATTCAGGATATCAAAGAACCCCATATATTCAATTTTTGTTGAAATCAAAAAAAGTTTAATTTTGGACCCCAATTTGGACCAACTTGAAAACTGGGCCCATAATCAAAAATCTAAATACATGTTTAGATTCAGCATATCAAAGAACCTCATATATTCAATTTTTGCTAAAATCAAACAAAGTTTAATTTTGGACCCTTTGGACATTAATGTAGACCAATTTGAAAACTGGACCCAAAATTAAAAATCTAAATACACTGTTAGATTCGGCATAACAAATAAATAAATGTGATCAAAGATTTTACAAATCTAATGCGCCATACTGTGCAATTAAAGATTACTTCTTGAAATTTTTCAATATTTGAAATTTGAAAAAAAAATAATATTTGAAGAATAATTCTTTTTAATTTCTGAAATCTGAAATGAGAAAAAATTGGCCCCCCCACAATTTCTTTTTATCCCCCCCCCCCCTTTTTCCCCCAAAAAAATTCTTTCCCTCAAGATATGGTCATAATCTCAATTCAAATTTCCAATGGAGTTGGCAACCATAATTACCCATTTAAATTTACCATAATGCTAACTTAATCTATTTTATAATAGAATTAATAAAAATATAGTGTCAAATCTTTCATAATGGATTTTTTTGTAAAAAAAAAAGATGAAAACATTTGCAGATATTTTTACTGGTCTTCCTTTATAAATATGCATTTCTTTAAACATAATTTAAAAGCAGTGTAAGGGAAGTAACCACAACGTTGTATTTGGATTACCTCCCTTACACTGTTTTAGATTATCTTTATTGTTCATTAACCATTACTTTATACATAATTTAAAAGCAGTGTAAGGGAGATAATTTCAATGATGTATTTGATTTATCTCCCTTACACTGCTTTAAATTATGTTTTGTACTAAAGTATTTGTCCATTAACCAGGACAACCTTGTTTTTCCCCCTTTTTTGCCCCTAATTCCTAAACGGTTTGAGCCATAACCCCCCAAAGCAAATCCTAACCATCCCTTTGTGGTATGTAAACTTGTAGTATAATTTCAGAGAGATCCATACACCGTTCCACAGTTATTGTCTGGAAACTAGAAAATGCTCATTTTTGGCCCCTTTTTGGCCCCTCATTCCTTAACTGTTGGTACCATAACCCCCAAAATCAATCCCAACCTTCCTTTTGTGGTATTTAACCTTATGGTCAAATTTCAAAAAGATCCATTCACTTAAACTAAAGTTAGAGTGCGAAAACCAATATGTATTCGGACGACGACGCCGGACGACGACGCCGGACGACGACGACGACGTCGACGACGACGACGCCAACATCATACCAATATACGACCACAAAATTTTTTTGCGGTCGTATAAAAATAACATAGACACATATCATTGAAAATCAAATATTTTACAAACACATTGACATCATTCACAACAATGTATATGTTTCTAGATCATACATGTATGGTCCCGACCTGGCATATGTGTATAAACTCACATGGTCAATTAGACTTTGAGATGAAGAACAGCAATACAAGCGCTGTTCCTCTGCTTTTTGAGTGTTATTTGCTGTGCAAAGTTAAAATCAATGTAAATTCATTATCCATTTGTCCTTATGACAATATGTCTACTTCTGGTGATAACTTCTAGAAATATCTAAACGGACTGTTAAATAAGAAGTCATCTGTTTTATAAAAGAACAAAAAAGTTGAACGGATAAAGACCTTTTTTAATGACATTAGGGAATGCCAAAATTTACTTCCGTTGGCAAATGAATATGGTGTACAGCAGTCATGTTATGATACCTAAGATCTACTCAAAAAGGTTGAAGACATATCCATCATGGTTACAACTTCGGTATAACTGCACACAGCTGCTAAGAAGGCTTGTTTTTTTCGCTTGCAAGCAAAAGATGTCTCTGCAAAGGACTGTGTATAACCAAAACATGTATATGTAGAAAAGCAATATCAATGGTACCTTGTGGAAGTAAATGCCATCCTAAGAGTACATGCAAGAATACAATTAGTAATAAATTGCTTCGCCTAGAGCAGCTGGATACGACCGCAGAGGTCCAACCCTGAACAGTTGGGGCAAAAATGGACGCAATATTTGCGCTTGATACAGGTCTGAATTTGGATTGCGATTAAATATTTGACACATAAAAGGTTTCTGACACAGAATAACTGTAGTCAAAGAACTAAGAATTGGTTATATAATTTGAATTTATATTCAATTTTTTGCTTTTGTGCAATACACTTTGCTGTTGCAAATTGACCCCCCTTCCCCCACAAAAAAAAATAAAAAATTTACCCCCCCTTTTTTTTTGCTTTAGTGCAATACACTATGCTGTTGCATATAACCCCCCCACCCCCACCCCCTTTTTTTGGCAAAAAAAAATAATATTTGAAGAATTTTTCTTTTTTATTTCTGAAATCTGAAATGAGAAAAAAATTGACCCCCACAATTTCTTTTTACCCCCCCCCTTTTCCCCCAAAAAAAT